GAGAATAAATGTAAGTTGTTGGGTTTTGTTTTTCAGAGACTAACTAAAATGTTTTTAAGACTTCTTTTTAATAGCTTCTTTCTGTTTGGCCTTCAGTTTGGCTCCGTATATATCCCAAGATAACTAGCAAGCACTTATTCCTCCATCAGCAAAGGAAGAGGAATAAACTGATGTGACCTGATATGGTGAGTAAAGCCCAGCATCTTGTGGGAGCAAAAAGTCATGGGTTAATATCCGCACTGCTGCTGGTTCTACTTCTTGTGCGAGTACCTGGCTTCCTGCTGACAGTGTTTTTATCTATATTAGACTAAAGTGATTCCAAGAGAATATTTTGAAGCCTGGGACACTTGCCATATTATTTTATTTTAATTTTAAATAGCTCTTGCCATCAGAGCGCATAATGGGCGCAAGCCATCTAACACTTTTGTCATGCAGAAGTCTAACCTGATAGTCCAGATTGAGAGCAGGACAACTGTTTCCAAGTCTGTCTGAAAACAAGAGTGCCTGCCTCGGACTGCCCATAGAGTACGGCTGCCTGTGACTGCTTGTTGCACATAGATCTACATGCTGCCTGGGAGGGAAATTTCACTGTTTCTCCTGCTAGGGTCTCCTTTTTGCACTGTACTGTGAACTCTGACAGTCAACAGAACTAGGGTATAGGAAGGCTGTGAGAGACTTACACAGTAAAGATTGAGTTTCCCAGACAACTATATTTTGACTTTCCTTCTTTTGGGGGAGCATCAGTCATCTTTCTTCAACCTCATAGGAGCAAGCAGTTGAATTTGAGTGTCCATAGTAGGACATAGTATTCAGGCTGTCTGACCAGGTGATCTGAGAAAACTAATTTAAAAATCACCTAAATGTCCCCCAAAAAGCAGTATCACCTGCTTTCCCCCACTCCTTCTCTTGCTTCCACTCTACAGTGATCATGTGTTTTCTATAACTTAACAACCCAGGCTCAATTCTGAAATATATATTTATGTTACTTTAAAGAACCCCTACACAATTAGAGTGCACCTCTGTACTCACAGTCTATAACACTTTTCTCTTTGCTTCTGTCATGGACTGATTTTTCTTTAGATGCTGATGTTCCTCAATTTCACTTTTTGATTTACCTCAGTCACTGTCACTGGCAATATCCCAGGGAGGAGAATGAGCCCTCTAGAAGAAATGTTGTTCAGCACCTCTTCAGTTTCATTGGGATTATGGTCCCAATCCCACATTGGCTCTAAAGCAGCCACTCAAGGTCAAAAACAGGGACTACACAAGAAAATGATGGATTTGAAATATTTTCATTGCCTTTTTTGGAAGAAAGATTTTGCTTTCTGAAAACTAAATGTTGAGTCATTTTGACCTGATGGGGTTCTGCTATGCCAATAAATTTTTCCCTGGATTTTTTGTCCTGAAAGCTTTTTTCCAGGAGGAGTTAGTAATCCAAATGTTTTGCTTTTAAGTTATTTCGCCTTCCTAACCTTAATTACCCACAGCAGAGATCCAGAATGTAGAAAGAAACCTTTGGTAGTTTTCCTAGGAGAGCCTCAAGAAGAGAAAGCTGAGCTTTGCCCTGCTGCCGTTGCCTGCTTCTGTATGTTCCCAGATCAATAACTAAAAGGGTGCAAAGCCAGTTGGCCACCAGGGCAGCAGCATATCTCCTCGCTAATGAGTGACCTTTCCACCCACTGCTTCACATGACTGAAATCAGGGGAAATTAGTTTACACAACTCAGAACTTATATAACTGGTGCTGCTAGGGCTGAAATTCTTCCTCATGGTGTGATGAATACATTTTGGATCTATTTGAAAAAAAAAAAAAGTAGAAATCAGACTGAAGATAAAAGGATTGCAACTGAACCAGCTAGATTCTCTGTAGTTTCTGACAGACAGGTGAAGAATAATGATGTCTCCGAGGTGTCTGTCCTTCCGTTTGGTGAATTACACATTTAGCTGGAAAAATCACTGCTGCTGAACCAAAGGTCCTGCTGCTTCCACCTGTTACAAAGGCATTTAAAATTATGGACAAGAACTTAGTTTTGTGAAGAGAGGGAGGCTGCTGTGTGGGTTGAAGGGTAACGTCTAAAAGCTTTGCTCATCCCAAACAGGCTGCACCACTTTTCATTGGCTGTTATACTCAAGCTTAAAAAGGGACCATGAGATCTTACTTACATACTTAGCTAGCTGGTTAACCAATCCAATACTAAACACTTACAAAGTAGCTGACATCAAATATTGTAAATATTTAAAAAAAAAACCCAAGAGGTAATTTTATGCTACTTATATATTATCTTATGAATAAAAATATATTTACAAAGCAAAAATAATTCAGATAAAAGTGCTAAAAATAAATTTTAACCTGAAATAAGCTTATTTCTTACATAGGGCTAACATTGCTTTCATTTGAAATATGAATTAATAGGTTACTTATTATAAAGGTAAAATGCAGCAAATGAAACTCAAGGAAAAAAAAAATCTTCCTTTGTCATATGTTATCAATGCCATCGTCATTGTTTTAGGGTAAGATTTAACAGGAAATTCTCCACAACTTGCTTTTCAGAAGTTGTCTTTTCAAATTTGCCAAAGGTAGCAGGTAATCTCAGTGTGCATAAATGGTAAAACACATCTTGGTGAGTCTTATTGGGCTATTCTTTCTTCATTCTTCCCTTCAAATACTTGGAAAAAAGCCTGCATGAGTATACAGTATAAAGTGCCTACATTTCCTTAGTTCAAATCCTTTAGTTATTTATGGGACTATACAAGCAATAAACAGTAGGTTTTTTTTAAACAGCTAGGAAAGTCCACTTTACTTGTCCTAGAGCATTAAATTCCCCAAAATGATAATTTAGAAAAATACAAGAAATTTAGAGGCACTGTACTTGTTTAACAGCTCTTGGTACTTTTGGTACTCTTGGGATCTGTTGTATCCCTACAGCTTTAAATACTTCAGGCTCTCTAAACCCTACATATGGTAAAGCTGTGTCTGACCTTATTGGTTCATGAATAATCAGGATACATAACATTTTTTCCTTTTAAATTCTAGTCTGCTGTGAGTTCAACTTAACAATGTGTTCAGGGCACTAGAGTACATTAAGGGTTATCTTTGGACGAATGTGTAAAAATATGTCCTTATTTTAGTTAAGTACAAAATCTATTGTTTGATGACAGTATCTCCCAAAGCTCACTGTTAAGAAACAGACCTGAATGAACAATTCAGAACAGAAAATTTTCTAGGGTCAAGAAGGAATAAGAATAGGGTTTTGAATTAGATGTTGGCAGTTGATGTATGTTTCTCAGAGTGACATTCTGAGATGTACAAGCCAGCTTCCCTTCAACTTACTATTGCACGGCCAGAAGCCCCCATGCAGTCATCATGCCCTGTGTCACAGTTTAAATGCAGCTGGCAGCTAAGTATCACACAGTTGCTTGTTCACTGCCCCCTCCTGCAGTGAGATGGGGAGGAGAATTGTAAACGAGGTAAAAACTGCAGGTTGAGATAAGAACAGTTTAATAACTGAAATAAAGTAAAATTAGAATATCATATATAATACAGAAGCATAGAATCAACTAGGTTGGAAAAGACCTTTAAGATCATCAAGTCCAACCTTTACCCAAGGACTGTCAAGTCCACCACTAAACCATGTCAATAAGGGCCCCATTTATGTGTTTTTTAAACACTTCCAGGGATGGTGATTCGACCACTTCCCTGGGCAGCCTGTTCCAATGCCTGATCACCCTTTCTGTGAAGTTTTTACTAATATCAAATCTAAACCATCCCTGACGAAGCTTGGTACCTTTATATCGTCATATCATGACAGCTTTGCCAAGGAATTTCCAGTCCCTCAGAGGAAAAGATGGAGTCACATCACCTACTAAACTACCTTTCATCACATACCATACTACTTGAAGGGCCAAAGACTTACTACTTTGGACATTGTCCTGAGGCTCAGCCAGTAGTAAGGCGATACAGTTTGGTCCTATAACTTGAGCCTTAACATAGCCTACCCCCACTGCTGACTATGTCAAGTCTTCCTTATTTATAAAAGCAAACCACACTAAAGACAGTTGACAGCCTTACTTAAAATAACCATTTAAAATTATATATGTTCTTTCACCTCAAAATTAAAATTATAAGGATTCATTAGTATAATACTTAGAAATTAATGGAACGATTAATGGAACATGGTTTGGGCATCTCTCTGCAGTTTTTTGCAGACACTTTGGAAAAACACTATCTCTATTGTAATTGCACTAATGCAGTACAGCACTTTTCCTCTCTATATACATTTAAAAGAGAAATTACAGTTATTCCAGGGTTTTGGTTTTTTTTTTTGTCCTTAGTATGGAAGAATGACAGTCTTCATACAACTGTACTATATAGCTGATTGACAGTCAGTTTGATGCATATCTTATTCCAAAACTTGTTGTCTGAGCCTTCTTACAAGAAGTTTTAGCATTTCCAGCTACTTCTATCTCTTTGCTGTGCTGCATTTACACCTTAAAAAAAATCCTAAAATTTTACAATGGCTCTTGTAATGACATTCATATGAACACAATCAATTGCAGGAAAGGTAAGAAAGTATGTATGAAAGAAAGTAGAAAGATTTATTTACTACTTAAGAACATTAAGACTCAGTATTAGGTCAGGTCTATACAGCTCTGTAGCAGATATGTAAGGAAAGACCAGCATTTGACATTGTCATTGTCATTTCTGCAGAAAGCCTCTTTGAACTTGAGAAAGGTATGGCTCCTGTTCAACATATTTGTCAGTCCCAAAGAAGGGAATGACTTTGTAACCAAGATAGAAGACAGCCTGGTGAGAATTATAGCTGTGCAGATGGACAAGAAAGACTCTTGTTTCAGAGATATAGTGTAGAAAGAATCAGAAAGTACAGTTTCTAGTTGGCTTAGAGACAGCATACTATGAACTCAGAAATATAAGGAATGTCCAAAGTCTAAGCCAGTTTAATGGTATCCATAGTACAGCACCTTTTATTATATGCGTTGATACAGAAAAATTGTTATGACAATCGGCAAAAAATATGTTATTAAGCTTGAAGTGATTCTGTATCATTCAGACTTCTCTTAGCAGAGCCACTTCAACCCAGCTGAAGTAATTCACTTAAAAGGCAAGTATCACAGATAGAGCTGACAGCAATGCTCATTTATGTAATATGATATAGAAAAACATATGTGTGAGAGTCTGAACTGGGGATACACTGATAAAAGGAACTGATTTTGTTTTGTTTCTGTAAAGAACTTTGGGGGGACACGTTTTGCAGAAGTGGTCTGTAAATCACTAGAACAAGGAGCACACAGTCTTCCTTGGCTTTGTTATTTGTTTAACCATTTTGGGAATTCTGCAAATCACTGGACTGATATGGAACTTAAATGACCTTAGTCCTTACTATTTGAGATAGGTAAACAGCTGTCTGGTCATATCTCTTGAGATTTTTTTCTGTTCTTCCTTGTAAGTATGTACATACCAAGATCAGGATTTCAAAGGGATTTGAGAATCTAACCGAACTTACACATTTATCTTTATTCACACTGTACTTACATTAGGTGCCCTAGCTGCATCTTTAGGTGCCAAAATACTTCTTCAAATGTGAAAATACTGTCATGAAGGTTTTCAAGATGCAGTTTAGTGAAATTTAGTGAAGACATCTATTGATTTTGAAGGTCATATCCATTTGTGCTGACCAAATTAGTCTCAACAATGTCTGTAGAAAATGAACAAAAAAAAAGAGGATACATGGGTATTCATTTAACTTTGAAACAAGCAAAAATGAAACAGCCTATTTATGGAGTGTTACCTGTTTTTATTAATCTTCTGCCCATGTTACTGAACTTCACTCACATATTCAGAACTAGATGTTAAAAATTATTACATGTACCCACATGCCTACATTTATGGGCAATAGACTATGACAGGCAAGTCTATCTCATATATGATCTTTTTGCTAGGCTAAATTTGTACTGGAGCCTAATCTTTGAATGAGTGTCTGATCTATGTATGTACAGAAAATATTTGGCCTTTGTTGCTACAACATTTATCACTCTTCTTATTGACTTGGTTACCAATTGATCTGTCCTTCGCTGTGGACGAATGGATGTATTTTCAGCTGGAATTAAGTGAGCATAGGTACTATGAACCAAGAAAAAGTTGTCTTAAAGTGTGTTACTAATTATTTATGCACTTCATTGAGTGCTTAGTGCTCTTGCTGTGCAACCCATAATCCTTGTCTAGCCATGGCCCTATCCATTTTTAAATTTTCCTTTTTTCCTAGAATAGTCTTTTAGATAAAAATAATTGGGTACTTAAATATTTCTAAAGCTAGCAATTAAAAAATACTTTATTGCAAAACCAGTATATCTTGTGATGAATATATTATGGAAAAGAAGGCTGTCAAGTAGTCCACAAACTACAATCCAAATACAAGTGCCATGTCTCCTGCATTATTGAAGCCACTGATGAGGTAGTGGATACATGGTCATTTACTGTGGATTCTGTGTTCTGTAAATGAGAGGCAAAAATGGGTTTAAATTGCATGAGTCTCTGTCACCAAAATATAAAAAACATACATATCAGGGGAATATATTTTGTGTCCTCAACTCAGGAGGAAGGCATGGAACTGTTGTACTTTATATGAAGTACATGTATTTGTTGGTTTTGAATCCACTAGTTGTATCATTATATATGCATAGCTATATTCTGCATAAGCTCCTGACCTGCAATTACTGGGATATTTCAAACTGTTAAGGAAGAAAACTTATCCATCAGTGGTCTAAATTGCTATTAGAATGAAAGAGTAATTTGTGATAGGAAAGGATTTTGAAACAAGGTGAACTCACTCTCTCACCTTCTAGAAATTGCAGTGGAGCAATTACAACAGGCCTAACTATCTGAGGACACGGGAAGGATTTATGGGAGATAGTTAGTAACATGAAATATTCAGACTACATAATTCCCACTTAAAATACCTCAGGTGGTCTGCAAAACTTTTTAGAAAGGCTAACAGCTAAGGGCAGTTTTCATTTAACTAAGGTTGCACTACCCAGAGCCCTGTAAGAGGCCTTGTTATGTAAAAGAATAGCCATATTTAGTCTTACGGTAAGAATATTCTACTGCAAAGATGGGGCATGACTCTGTATCATAGTTGCAAGAGCATCCAGCAAGTCAAAACTTGAGCCTCACAACTTTTTCCAGGATTACTAATGTATTTTACCATTTGTTGCACATAATACATAGGAACTGTCTTTGAAGCATGGACTACACTCATGTTTCCAGGCTCTCTGCTTTCTGATCCTATGACTTGTTTTCTGTGGAGCAGGTTAAACTGAACAGAAAGGAAAGACTGCATTCCCCTCCACTATCTCTCTTCCCTTCACCGTTCCCTCCACAGTAGCCTGGTAACACAGAAGCACTGCTGGGTGACTCTTCTTCAGGCTAAGAAGGGGATATAGACTGGCTACCTTCCACTCCCTTGGGCATGAACCACAAGGGTGGACTGTGAAAGAAGAGTTAAAACCAGCTCTGTCTCCTGCTAACATTGCACTGCAATGGAAAAAGTAATTTTTGAATGAAAACAGGTATCTCACTACCTTCAGGAGAGTGCATGAGGTTCCTCTCCACAGCCCTGAATAAATGGAAAATTTGAAAATGTATCCTTTTGCTTAGAATTTTCAACTGTCAGACTTCAAGCACCACACATTAATTACACAGTCTGCACATGTATCTGATACTGTATCTTCTCTGCTTAGCTTCCTAGGGTGGCTTGGGTTCTGTCATACTTAGCTTAGCTTCCTAGGGTGGTTTAGCTTCCTAGTGTGGTTTGAGTTCTGTCCTACCACTCTATGTACTTCCACGCACTGTCTAGAGACCTTAAATGCCTAATTGTTGGTTTCTGTCTACCACATAAAAAGCCAAATACTATAAAGACAGATACATATCCAAGTTAGCACAGAGGCATTCTGTGCCGTATCCCTAAGAAACTGCATAACCCCAATCCCTTAAATTCACCAGGACTGATCTCCCGAGGTTGCTTCAAGTATCAGAATCGGTGATGTCGTGTACACACAGACTGTCTGGCTAAGCTGCCCCACTTGATACTTTAAGAAAAATGGTGAAGTTGGGTGTAATACTTAAAATTTAGAGAATTCTGAAAAATATCTACCTGCAATATAAAAAATATTCTTCTGGAAAAGTTGCTTTTTTTTTCCTAATTGTCATTGGAAGGTTATTACATTTTCTTGTTTGTTTTTTTTTTCTGGTCTCCACATAAAACGAGAGAGTTGCTTAGCTGGGCACACAACCTGGCTGGGCTAGAGTTGGTCTGCAGAGGTGGCTCCTAATTTTCCAAGCTAGACTTCTGAGGGCAAAAATTTGTGCAAAAAGGGAAAACACATTAATACTAATGTATCAGGACTTAAATATGTCATCAGAGAAAATTTTTGGGGTTCGGTAGATGTTTCACAATGGCTTCAGCTTATCTTTCAAAGGCTAAGCACAGCTTCAGGTGTTTTAGAGGAAAGGCAGTGAAACGCTACCGTGAGAACTCCCGGTATGATGAACAAAATGTTGGCAGTGTAAACAGTGACTCCAAGGACATCTTCACCAGACATCCTGATACAAAGCCAGTATCTTTCACATTTAAATGTTTGGTTTCCTCAGGTATCACTCATCATCACTTCATGCATGTAGTGATCTTATTTGAAACTATAACATTTACTATAGTGTACTATTTCATCTCACTAAATGATATGTCAATAAACTCTTCATACTCAGCCATAGGAAGGGACTTTAAAATGTGAAGACCTACCTGGACTACTATTAACATTACATGCTCTTGAAGTATGATGTGTAAATGCAATTTGCACATGCATATGTGTATGTTTTGGTTCTGTTGTGTGGTGTTTTGTGTTTGTTGCTTTTTTGTTTTTTGTTGTTTTTTTTTTTTTAATCTAATTGAACTATTAACATTTTGTGAGTAAATTTTCTTGGAATTCTTTGATCTTTAGATATCTGTGGTCTTGAGATTCACAATTTCCAACTAACTATAAAGCTGAATTACAAATTAGTAAAGATCCACGAATTTATTGGATTAAACACTCATATATAGGTAGGTCCAGTAGAAAAATCCAAGCTTGAAATGAAATATTTAACCATAAGAAATTCTTTATGCTTCTAAAACTTTTTTACGTGATAGCCGATTAAGCTTCTTGTCTGTATTTTAATGATGTAATCTTGAATGCTTGGCATATTACCTTGCTTCCAGATGACTGCAAGTGAATTTTCAAAGTGGTGCATGAGACACAGGGACACAAATCCTGTTAGCAGTTAATGGGATTTTTTTGCACCTCCTGTGCACCACACTGAGAGACCTAGCCTTGAAATTTCCGTTATCTATATTTGTTCAAAGATGATGTCTTGTAAATACAGGCCCTTCTGAATTGGCCAGATGACCTGTGTTTGACAGGTTAAACCCATAATTACTAAATTGATCTTACAGATATCTAGTGTTGTTCCCTATTCCTTTCCTTTCCCTACTTTATTCCTCTCATAAGAAGAAAACGAGATACCTACACCCATCACCATCAGCATCTTCAAAGGGAGTGGGACACAAGGGATGTCAACTTGATTACTTTCTCTAATAAAAGAAACTCAAGCTTTTCATAGCTATGCTTAAATACACACTTCCCTTCAAGAATACAAGTAGTCCTATTCAACTAGCGGGCACAGGGAGATGAGACGAAATGTGTAGAAAGTAATAGAAGTTACCTCAGATACTTACTGTTGTGGTAGACCTGGTGCAATTTATTAATCTGATGATTTACCATAGGTATTTTCATTCTGTATTAAATCTGTCCAGCTGTGTGACTACTGCAGATGCTACAGAAAATCATAGGCAACAGTCATGTATTTGCTGAGGCAATTGAGTATTAGCATTATGTCTTCAGAGTCATCCTTAAAGCTTTTCTGCTTTTTGTTTTTCAAATTCTTGATATTCCCTTTGCCGTAAGAATGTCCAATCTCTTTTATTTCTTTAAAAACTACCACATCATAATAATACCTTGATGAAATTGTTGTCATGGGTTAATTCGTATCTCAGAAAAAGAAAAAAAAAATCTTGTTTTAAAATGTTGTATGACAAAAACATGTTGGGAACATACAATAGCATAAATGAGTCATGGTTGTACCTTGAAAAATATGTAAGCAGGCTTGCTTCATAACTCCTGATGAAGGACATAAATTTTCAGGTGAGATCTAAAAACTTCCCTGTGACCAAAATTACTTCTCCTAAAGTTGACAGCGGTTTAGTTTATACGTTCAGAAATTCCTTGTTATTTTTCTACATAGCAGAATATATTTGTTTGCATAATTATACATATTTGTATTTGATTAAGGAAAATGCAATTTTTTTTAACCTCATTTCATTGTCTTTAATAGAATAAAGGATTTTTTTTTTCAGAAGATTAGCCATTTATAATTTCATGTGCACCGCTGTACACATTTCAAAGCACACTTCTGTAAGAAGTGTTTTGCTCTTGCTGTAGAAAATACGTTTATTAGTAACAGTGAAGTAAAATCTATTCCTTAACAGTAACAAAAAAGGATAATGATAATATCATGCATAAAACTTGTAACCGTAGTACTTGAAGCAGTAAAGTACTTCTTACGGTTAAATCAGTGTGCAGTTGTCACAATCCCCCATTTTTCAAGTTGCTAAATATTAGGTCTCCCTTTCCACCAGAAAAAAATTGTGCTGAAACAAAGAGAGTATTCCTGACTGATGCAACAAATCAGTGGTAATACCACTTGGGATCTCCTGATGCTCAAACCATTAGTTCACCCTGACTAGACCAAACTTCCTTAAGAAAAATATATATATATTTTTAAGTTTATATTCTTTCTGAGTATCTTCTTAGGAAACTAATGAAATAAGATGGCTGCTGTCAATACTCTTCTCCATATTTTCAGTCATTTCTTTATGGAAATGTCATGGTTGTTTGTATCTTATCCTGTGGTTGTTTTCCCCCCAAAGTCTGAGGTGGTGAGGAAGATGTAAGAGAGGAGAAAGGAGGTGGCAAGCAGTTTAGAGTTCTTTCTTGAACCTCTGCTTGTAATTACAGTGACAAAAGGAAAGCTTCAATAATTTTGGCCCATTTGTCTGCTGTTGGAATTATACATGGTTGCAGACGTTGGTGCCGATTGCCTAAAAGAGACAAACAAATAAAAATCCCAGGGATTTTTTATAAACAAACAAAACCAAACAAATATTTATTTGTTTTCTTATGAATTTAAACTTTAGAATGAGTTAATTTAAGCTCTTACAAAAGCTGAGGAGAATTAAAAAATCACTGGAGAAAGTGGGTTCAAAGCAATACAAAATATTTCTCATCAGTCCTGCTCTGTTCTCATGTCTCAAGAAAACAACCAGAGACCGTTTCATGGTTAAAAAGATAGACATTCTATTATTATTGCATATCTTATCAGTATTTCAAAGCTTCAGGCTCAACTCTGCCTCTTTGGGCACAAATTCTTGGTGTTTACAATCCTTTGAAAAACAGTTAGGGAGTTACAATGGCATAACAATAGTGTTCTTCTGAAGAACCAAGGTCTTTGAATAATCATCTTACTGCAAAGTAGTAATGTGTCATCCACCCAAATCTCACAGCATATACCAGAGGAGATAGATACAACTTGAACTGCTGCTTAAAGCGTGGATTATGTTTTACGTACCATTCAAACAGCAAACTCTCAATTAACGTTTGTTTGCCTGTGCCATACCTGATGACCCAAGATAGACATGGATATGCACTAATAGAAAGCTATTTCTTAAAATGTGTTTAAAAATTGAAAGAATACCTTTATGAGATATTATCACACAGGACTGCTAAATAATGCAAAAAGAGCCTGAGGGGGGGTAAAAAAAAAATAAAAACAAACATGTAAGGGGGGGGGGGATAAATATGTATTAAAAGATGCCCTGTGCTGGCAACACTCTGTTCTCATGAGGACAACTGAAAATTTGTCTACTGACTAAAAAACATTGCAGAGTACACAATAGAGATAAATGGTCTGGAAATGTCTCTTTAATCAGTCTCCATCTATCCAAGTTCAGTTCTCATTTGGAGGAGTAAGGGAAGCCATGGTAAAAAGTGAGAAACATCCTGATAACTTGGTGACTAACAAAAGAATGACTGCAGCAATACTTTCATTTGATGATTACAAATTATTAATAGAATATTTGAATTTTTTGTAACTGAGAATAAAGCCTGAGTGTACCTTGTGAAAAGCTTAACTAGAATGTAACTGCAATTGGAGGAAAAAACTTTTTATTTAAGACTAACCACTGATTTGGAAGTTACAGTATAACAAATATCCCTGCGTTCATGGGTTGTTTTGAAAGCCCTCCTTTTTGGTGCTTCCCAAAGTACCTATGTTTCAACACATGCTTCATTTCAAAACTCAGAGCAAGCCCTCCTTTCAGGAGCTGCACTGTGCTTGGTGTGATCTGGGACACACTGCAGGTGCGTGAGTTGGAAAGTTCAGAGCCACTGCATAAAGTGCAGGCACTGCTTCGACCTGAATAAAAAGCAGACTCAATTATCTTTGACAGATGATTTTATTATTCAGATAACAGATTCACTTAATAAGGAACAGTTACAACAGAAAGTGACTGCCTCTTGATTAACCAGGACAAGTTCAAAACCATCAGATATTCTGGCTGTAACTGCTGCCTGAATCTTTTTAAGTCTGAAAACTCTCCGTGCCTGACGAAAGGGCATAGCTTCTCCTAAACTGTTATATTCACAAGTTTCAGCTAAATTTTAAAGTCTCTCAGAACATCCCTTCTCTTATTCTAATTTCTTTCATCATCTTCCAAATGAAGATGTTGAACTGCTATGTTATTAGTTTAAGAAAGAGTTGAAATGAAAAGGTTTTACTTTGAGTGTTAATTAAAGCAAACTAACATGTCAATGTTGCTTTGTTTATTGGTACCTATTACAATACCAGATCTGTCATATATGTAAAAAAACAATTCTGCAAAGGGTTTGGACTCGCAAGTCCTTGACTTTCAGGCTTCAAAGGAAGATTCTCTCTCAAGGGCATACAGCTATCCATAACCACCAGTTATGTGGTGAACCCTTAGGAAAAGTGGAAGAAGGATCCCTGACCATGACCCAAATTGTCATTAAATTGCTCTTAACATTAATATTTAATGAAGATTATGGTGCATCTGTAATCAGATTTTCTGTGTTTTCTGATACTGCCTGGTGACAACTAAAAAACTCAACATTTCAAGAAAGTGCATCTTAAAGCTCCCCAGTAATGTCAAAACAAAGGAGAGGATTCATAAAAACAAATAAAAAGACAAAGTGAAAGAAACATGTCAAAACAGTGTAGTTTTCCTAAATTCTCTGCTGAAGGTGTAAATTACCAGTCTGACACAACTGCTAGTCTGAGCTCTTTTGGTTAATAATCAGTTTAATCATAAAAATAACTCTTTAAAGCAGTAAGAGGGATTCTCTACCTATTCTGAAATTTCACTGCCCCAAAAGTAATCTCTTCTCCTCAAGAATATTTTTAAACTGTTAGTAAGAGCCATTATGATGGTAAATTTGTACTTGCAAAATGCTAGAAGAATGTTTTCTGACTTTTTTTCTGGATTTTTGTTGAGCCTGACTTGGAAGTTTTCTTTTTAGTTTTAGGGAAACATTTTAAGAGCTAAGAGCAGGGTTAGTTATGAATGGAACTGATTGCCCAAGGAGGCTGCAGTTTCTGGAAGAGATGAGGCTTAATAAAGGTAGTCTTCTGATAAATCAGAATACCAAATACAAAATTCCAAGAGGTGTCATTTAGTCTCTTCCTAAGAGGATATGAATTCTGCCTAACTATTGCTATGTTATTGAAATCATTGATAAATAATTAAGAAATTTTTGGTTATGGATTTTTTTCTGAGTGTTATGAACAGTCGACTAGTAGGGCAGGTAAAACTGCTGTAGTGATACACTGGGTCTTTCAAGAACTCAGCCCCATCTAAGCTCCAGGGTCTTTTCAGCACTATATGCCCAAACCTCTTCTTAACTTGTCTCAATACTTGAGAAGATCAGCTTGCCCAGACCTCTAATTTTATTAAATTTATTCCACAGAACCTGAGCAGGTAGCCTTCGAAACTTGCTTTAGCCTTCAAATTGCAGAGGTTTTGGTATCTGATATTTTGCTTAAGAGCAGCTGCACTTAATTTACCTACCACTGGTGGTATGTGAGAACATGAACCACCAAGTAATTTTTACAGCTGTTCTGGGGTATTAAAGGCTACAAGCTTGGTGTCATAACTTAAAAGCAAGCTGTTTATCCGTGCCTTACTAACTGGTGGGTGAGGAGCCACTGGCTGCTCAAAGACGGTTATCTCTCCACAGACTGTGGAAGATACAGTAGGAGGTGCATGCATACTGTAACCAGAGAACCAGCGCAAGTTCTAGAGCTCATAAGTTTACAAAGAACAAATTCATTAAGGTAAATATAGTACAGTTTACACAGATGAAAGTCTTGCAATTTTTCTAGAGCTTCAACAGGTGCCTCAGAGATACAGACATTTTCTTGTGCACCCTAAAATTGTGCTTAGAAGAGATTCTCCAAACTGCATGGAAAGCACTCATGTATGACAATGGCTGGGAACAATTTATGCAAGCACATTACACTCTGGAAATTAGAATAGGTTTTGCTGGAGGTTGTGGTGGAGAAAGATTTATATTAGCTTTATTTTAAAGCCTTTATGTGCTTGTTGTTTCTTAGCCCCTGCTCATGAGGTCAGACAGAAAAAAAATTGTTGATATATTTCTGCAGATCATATCTGAAGAAGAAAGAAGAAAATTCCCAAGCAAGTTCACCTTTGCCTGTTATCATTGCATGAATATCCATCTTGTCCTTTGATATGGCTCATTTCAAATAATAAATAGATGCTTTTGTCTGGAGATTGAGTCAATACATGCTTCCTTTTAGCTGTACAATAAAAAGATGTCATGCTATGAGAGTTATAGTGTTCCTAATTTTCCACAGTCCTGGCAGATATTGATTGTGCACATATCAATATTTACATGAATGTAATCAAGCAAATGTAGTACCTGACTCTTATTTGAAGTATGTGACTCAATTTTAGGATTAATCTGATCATAACAATTTTTGGTGTGTATACCTATGAAGCAGTAAAACATGGTTTGTGAGGTGAAAAAAATAAACCCAGAACTGAAAATCCAGGATGGTTCCATGCGAATCTCCCATCCATGTCCACACAGCAGAGGGGCTCTTAGTCATCTCCCAGTACTGCAAAGTATCTGTGTGCTTGTTGTTTTTTGGGGAAGGCAGTATGTGCTTCTTAGTAACAGTGCAGTGGACCAGGCATGCCTCCAAAGCAGAAATATGGTCCTTGTTCCTGTTCTCCCTCATTCTGCTACCTGTGACAGATTAGCTATTAATGAAAGGAAAAAATACTATTTGGGTTGGCTTCCTGAGTTCTGTGACTAACGCTCTGTATCTCAGGTCAGTATTTTTGATAGTCAGTGGGTCTTTTTCAGAAATACTGAGCCTAGATTCAGGTAGTCTCACGGACACCTAAACATTCACTTTATAAGTTTTTAGCTTTCCTGGTTCTAAAAAGAAGAGCAAATTTAATCTAGAACTTAAAAAATATCACAAGGCAAAAAATCCTTAATTTACACCATTTTACTGCTTGTAAGTATGTATATTAGAAATCCTCTTTAATTCAGAAAATTTATATCCAGAGTAGCTGTGGCTGTAGCTGAGAATATAAAAGCTCACAAATATCTTTGAACATCAGACTATTCTCTTTAATACAGACCTACCAATTAATGGACTGTAAAGATGCATAGTTATTTCACAAAGAATACCCTGTGTCCTATACAACTTAAATCTTTTGCAGAAATGAGAGCATCGTCAGCTACATTTCTGATGTAGCTTCGCTACGATGAGATCAGTAAACACCCCTCAAGAAACCTGCAAATAAAAATAAAAATTATTTTTCACCATAAACTGTAATTACTTTAATTATAGGATGATTATATAAATAATGTGTTTGAACACAGACTTCGTTTTTTTCTTTGTTTTCTAAATATTATCCTCTTTCTGTATTTTCTGATGTGTAAACAAGAAACAGTTAAGTTCAGATGAAGAGCAGTTGAACTGCCTGTAATACAAACTGAGACAATCCAGTGATGATTAAGCTATTGAAAATTACCTGACTAATGGATAATTTTTAAGTCAGCAGGTGTACTTAGTTATTATAACTTAAAAATTGAAAATATGTTTAAGTTCTAACCCCCTGTATGTTAACAGGACTGGTCTATCACTGATAACCATGCCAGAAAGTTCTGTGCACTGTTAGAAACTCAGGTTTTACTCACAAAGTGTCAATGGAAGATTAAAAAAACTTCCAGAGACCTTCCTTAGAGCAAAGATTTGGGATTATATTACTGTAAATATGTGTTTCTATAAATGGACTGTTTCAGTATCCAAAAGACAAGGAAAAAAATAAATATCAATTCCCAGCTAATGAAAGTGATTACAGATTTTTTTTTCTTTTTGCAGTTCAGATACTTCATTCTTGACCTTGTTTTCTATACCTTTGTTTACCACCTAGTATGTTAGATGTGCAAATGTCACATCTTGTGAAACTCATGGTCCTTGGTATGATTATAATAGGTAAATTCACTTGCATGGCACTTAAATGGGTAAACCCATAAGGTTAGTTTCATACGCCTAATAGTGATTGATAGGTGAGCTTCATACCATCTAAATCTGAAAGAGATAAACTTTGTTTAAAATGCATTTAGCTGTGACTATCCTATAAGCTTAATGTAGAGCAGAAATGCCATTTACACCTACTTCAGGCTTTCATGTATAACATGTTAAATCATCACTATTAAATACAGTGCCTCTACATATAGAGATGCCAAAATTCCTTGCAACCAGTTCCCATTGCTGTTCAATTCACTCACATTCTCCAAGATTTTGAAATGGGTTCTCATCAACTGTTTAGAAAACTTAAGTTGCATGTGCAGCTTACTAAATATCAATGTGCTTTCCTAAAAAGATAAGATAGAAAATTCTGATCAGTGATAATCAGTATGAGAAATTAATGTAAAGACTGAATTAATTCAGCTAGTGAGTAGCTGCTAATACAGTTAAAATTGCTATAAGACTGTACTCATGCAATCTTCCTCTTTAATGGCATCAAAAAATATTTTACAACATAACTGTAAATACTGCATGAATATATCTGTTGGTTGTTATTTCTAAACTGAGAAAACTCAGTTTTATTAAAGCAGTCAGTATCTGTATGAGCTATAAGCTCATATATATGTTTCTGGATTTCTTTGTGAGCTGTATTCTATCCTAGACACAAAGTTTATACTGGGGTAATATCATGATTTTTTTTTAGGTAAAGATATCTTGTCAGGCAATTGGCAGTGAAATCACTTCCAAAGGGATCATGTCACAAGTCACATGCAAACAGAAGAGATTTCAGCTCCAATTCTCAGCCATAAACAATGGCTTATCATTTATCACCAGTGTTTGGAAATCTTAACACTAAAACAGGGGTTTTGCTGCTGTTTTGCACTCTCAGGGGTGAGATTCTATGCCAACACACCCAATGCAAGTCTCCGCAAATCTCTGCAGAGGTCACAGATCCCACAGTGACTTCTCATTTTAAGGAAACCTGGAAAAATTCAGAATGTGTCAAGCAGCAGACTTCCTTGCCCTTTTGGAAAGCGTCCAGCCACTCAAGGCACTGGTTTATACTATGTGGTATAGCTGAAACAAACAAACATTTACTGTTTATCTAGCAAACGAGACAACCGCCTATGAACTCCTGCTGCTCTGAATGTATAGCTACACACACTTCAGTACTTGCATACCAGTATTACCACTAACATAGAACACAAACAGCAAAAGAACTAAGCCATCACAACAGCAACAAGAATCTCTTCTGTATCTGAGGTCTCTTCATTCTTGTGAGTTAAAAGCACAGAGCAATAAATATCATAAAGACAGAACTAAGGGCAAGAAATGCCCATTTGCCTTTAATGGGACTTCACAGACTTCCTTGACCTGATCACAGTGATGTAGTGTGTGAATGATGTCATTTTACTGATCTAAAAGGAGTTTCCTTTTTGTCAGAGGCAAGCCATCATAAGCTCTGAAATCACCAAACTGCAGCACTATTTACCAGGAAAACTTTATCCTAAAAGTCCGAGTTTATTCTTTCAAGCATAGTTAACACTTATGTAGTCACAGCACTTCAAATTTTGCTTGGAGCATAAATACAAAGTTAGAGAATTGCAGAAGAATTTTATACATCCTTAAAATTTATGGCTTATACATCCTCAAAATTTATGGTTTATGCATCCTTAAAATTTAATAATCAGGAAGTGTTCCCATGTATGAAGATTAGGTATTTATTTCCTCTGCAAGCTGATGATCATGGTTTTTCTGATCACAAACTGTGTACTTTCATTTTCACTCTTTCTGGTTTTATTCACCTCTCTATTGCTAAACAATTAAGTGGCAGAAACTGTTAATATTATGTTAAAACTTCATCCTATTTCACGGCTTTTTTTCCAGTCTTGTTCCAGTATTTTCACGGGAAAACATGGATGGAAACACTTAGTAAAACAAAAGACATGCAAAATATCTGAAGTATGACATTTGCAGATAATCTTCAAAACTAATTGCCATAGGAATTAAAGAATTGAAACCACCAACACACTGCAGTTTCTAAGATTTTTTTCTTGCAAATATAGGAACATTTGCATTTCTTTAAAAGATGCATGTGTATGAAGCATTTCTCAATAAAAAGCATCAAAATCATGCCCAAAAGGTCATTTTGAGCTCTCTTATATGCATGGTATCATCTGCTACATGAAATAAGGTAAGCTAGGAGGATAAGCAGTTTCCTTTAATGGGAAAAGATGGCAATTTCTCCAACAAATAGCTCTGTATGATGGTAGAACAGCTCAGAGAGAGGGAAAAATTGAGGGGAATTATACTGCAGAATCAACATCTTCTCCAACCCCTGTGGGAAAGAGCTGTCCTTTAGACCACTTATTCTGACTGGATTTGTCAAGTGCAGTATACGTCCATGTCAAGGATAGATTTATTTATTTATTTACTTGATTTCTCCCAGATTTAGGTACCAGGTTCATTAAGTTTATGATTTGCATACCTTCACTTAGTATTACTGTCTTTGTTTATTCTTTGAAGGGCACTTACTACACTGCAAATGCAGGGTAACATGCACTATATACAGATTATAGCTATAAATAGGTATGCTGCTGTTTGGCTTTCTTTAAAGTTCCAAGAAGCTACTTAAAAGCATCAGCATTGTACTGCAAAAATATGTCTAATGAATTATCATGTAAAATGTGTGTTTACATGAAGCATGACAATAATGCCGTATATTCACATGTAAAACAGGAGGCTTTTCAACAGGATATTAGTAAACATCATGCAATGATAACAGCAGGTGTTCTCCTCCTCTGACCCTAAATTTTATTGTTTATGGTCTCTTATCCCTGCAGTTCTCTAGTTACGACCTGAAAATAAAAGTGCTCCCTCCAGGTAAATAATGGCACAATCTGTTTAGACAATTGTAAAAACTCTTGTTTTTTCTTACTTCAGGAACTCTGAGTTAACTAGACTTGGCTGATTTAAATATCTGGATTACCATTTGGAAGTAGAATGGCATGACATCTCAGTGTAGCTGTTCTGGAAAAGGAACTGCAGGATGCACCATAATCAGCTTCCTCACGAAAAATAATTAAATATAACTGGCTGAAACCATATCTTCACACTGTCATTTTTAATAAATGGAATTACATCAAATTTAAACTAGGGCCTCAAAAGGCACATAAATCAGAGATCATGGTAATGTCTTGTGGAGTTCCAAGATAAAACTTACGTCTTTATGTTTTGCTCATTCTTTTCATAATGTCTTTAAACTTACTCATTTTCTTTTCAGAAAACCATTTTCTTTTCTTTTTCCCCAGCTGAGAGAACTGGGGGTATTCAGCCTGGAGAAGAGAAGGGTCACGGAAGACCTTATCACTTTCTCTGCAACTATCTAAAAGCAGGTTGTAGTGAGGTGGGGGTCAGTCTCTTCTCCCAGGTAACAAGCAACAGGACAAGAGGCCTCAACCTGCACCAGGGGGGGGTTAGATTGGATATTAGGAAAAACTTCTTCACAGAAAGGGTGATCAGGTATTGGAACAGGCTGCCCAAGGAAATGGGGGAGTCACCATCCCTGGAAGCGTTCAAAAACATGTAGATGAGGCCCTTATTGACATGGTTTAGTGATGGACTTGACAGTCCTGGGGTAATGGTTGGACTCTATGATCTTAAAGGTCTTTTCCAACCTAGCTGATTCTATGATTCTATGACTCTATGTAGTACCTATTTTTGTCATGACTTACTGGAGCCTTATTTGGAGTAGATTATCCATTCAATACCATAATGCATTATACAATGGATCTCCATCTAGGAATTTTGGTCTTTCAAAATGCTGAGATATAAAGTGTTGAAATACACCTAAAGGATAATAAAATTATTCTTTATTTTGAATTTACACAAACATGGTAAATTTAAGTGTGTGACTAGAACTATGGTATAGAGTCAGATTCTCAGTCCCAGAAATGCCTGTTTGCATCTTTCAATCAACAAATAGGGTTTCTGCTAAAAAATGCTGGAAGGTAAGCAAGACACAGGACAAGATCTATTGGAACAAGATGGTACAGAGAAAACAAGCTAAAGAAACACTAACCAGCAAGTGGTCATAATAAAACATATATAGGAGCTAATCCTTCTCCCACTAAAGGCAGTGGCAGTTCTACAGTCAGGTGCAATTGCACACATCACTCTGATAAGGTACACAGAAATAATATTTAAAGAAAGGGGAGTGTGACCAATTTAGTGTTTTATGTCAAAACACTCAT